TCTTTTGAGAAAGAAATAGCCACGATGTTTATGCTAGAGGTGAAGGAATTTGAAGAAGCTGTGTAAGTACATTAAACTGGTTACTGCCAATTTCAACTGTCTTAAATCCTACTGGGCTCTAGCTTTAAATTTTCTGTACCCCCATACTTCAAAAGTTCTATTCGTTTTGACATTAACCAAAAACTGTTGGTTCCCACTTTTTTGCATTAAAATCTTATTTGAGGATCGTGTGGTCCAGGAGCAAGTTACTGTTCTGTCGTACTGAAGATTTGTGGTTTTAAATTTGTTCAGTGAATCGCAACATACACCATCTAGCAACACTGGTGGAAATTACTTGCTCAAAATACATTCTGAAAGAGAAATATTTTGTCTTCTCATGACAAATTATTTTTTATCTTATGTTGGGTATTGTAGTCTGAACATTCTGGTAAATGACCAAACTTGGATAAGGAACCAAGTGTTAAGCTGCAAGGTCTGTGTTCAGGGCAGTCATCATTATATCATAATCATCAATATCCTTTCGTTGACTGTAAGCAAAATTTTTATTTCATTTTTTCAGCCAAGTTATTTGGGCAGAAGCCAAAATAATAAAAGGCAATAATTGAAGGCATTGAAGACAGGGGAGAAGGTATTCTGAGTCCTGTGGAGTTTATGCGCTGAAATAGGATAAATTATAATTAATGTCATAAGATATATGATTTGAAGCTTTCACGGCGACATAACTCACTAAAATCTTCTCCGGTGATCAGCCACAAATGGTTAAACAATAAAACCAACATTTCAGGGACTGTCCCTGTCCCCATCATCAGGGTTCTGCTGACCGGGTTATGTAGTTGTCTCCCATGTATATACCTGCCAGGCCAGTAATCATGGCCGGACCCTAGCCAATCACAACTGGTGGGTGGAGTCAGAAGCACATACTCTTTGTCCCTGCTCTCCATTGGTGTTAAGCCTGGACTGCTTGAGCATTTTTGTGACTGGATACCAGGAGTGAGTTAATTTGAGTGGTAAAGAGCACTTTCATACCACATCTTTACCAGTCCATGGTGATGTACAGACCTTCATTGGTCTTATGTATTTAATAAGCATAAGAACAAATATATTTTATTAGGGGCTGCATGATGTGCACATCACCAAGATTTTTTTGCGTACATGGGCCATTACCCTAGTGTTTTTATATAAAGTTGATTTATTTTAATTAGATAAATATTTGTACATTCTTCAGTGGTAGAATTGTTGGAGAAAGAATCATAATCATGATTTCCTTATGTTTAAGCACATTTTTGATGGGTTATATTTCACGTGAAACTTCTGTTCTTTGTCCTGTATGTTTTAAGATTAAGACTCAACACAAATGTATGTGAAATTATGTTTGTAAGGTGGTGAAGCATTTAAAATGAGGTACTGTGTACAAATTAAGTATCTTGGAAGGATTTGTCCTTTCTGATTTATAGTTTTGAAATATGTGGAAAAATAAAAGAGATTCAATTCAATTCAATTAATTTATTTACGTGTTTGCCAACAGCAAGAAGCCAATAACAGGCAAACACTGATAATATATACAATAATAGTGAAATAAAAATTAAAAATTAAAAATCTTACACAAACGGATTAACTAAACTTATAAATATACAGTATTAAATATAACTGCCAAGTACAGGCAAACCCAAAATAGAAACAATATTAACACAGAGCAAAAAATGAAGGAATATAAATAAAAACAAAATAATCCACGTAGGGAACACTAATATAATTGTAAAACTTTAAAAAATATAAAAAGACAGATAACCAAGCTAGATCATTTCCCTTGTTGAGAACGCTGAAGGACTATGTCTTAGTGCACTGCTCACACTAAAAGTAGAAAATTCTCTTATTTGCCTCGCCGGCACACGTAAACCAACAGCGTCCATAATGGAATGGCAATTTATTTTGCCCTTAAATACATTAATAAGAAATAACGCATCGAGATGTCGTCGTCTGGAATAAAGTGTTCTAAAATTTAAAGTAGATAGGATCAGTTCATATTTTCGGGGGATATTAAACTGGAAAAATCGGTAATTGCATAAACTGGCAAATTTTCTTTGAATATTTTCTAATTTATTAGAATCTGTCTGTGTAAGATTATTCCAAACGACCGAGGCATACTCAAGCTTTGACCTAATTAAAGCATTATATAAAACAACAAGGCTGTCTAGAGAGGAAAAATTATAAGTAATAAAACGAATAAGCCCTAAGGTCCTTAGTGCCTGGGAATGAACACAATTTACATGACAGTGAAAATACAGTTTACTGTCTAACAAAACACCAAGATCTTTTATACAATTTGTACGCAAGATTAAAAAGTCACTAACAATGTAATTAAAATGGATACTGTTGGTTTTACGTGTGAACGATATAATTTTGGTTTTCTCTATGTTAAGTTCCATATTGTTATCATTACACCACTCATGTACGGAATTGATATCTGCTTGAAGAGCTCTGCAGTCATGCACAGATTTAATATCGTGATATAGTTTCAAGTCATCGGCAAATAAGAGAAATTTAGAATACTTAATTTTGTCGCAAAGGTCGTTAATAAAAATATTAAATAAGAGAGGTCCCAAGGTAGAGCCTTGTGGAACTCCAGATAACACCGCGTAGAGAGAAGAAGACTGTCCTAAAATGCGAACAAAGGCAGATCTGGATGATAAATAACTTTGGAACCACTTGACATAAGGAGAAGATAGTCCAAATTTATTTAGCTTTTTCAAAAGAATAGAATGCGGGACTGAATCAAAGGCCTGCCTAAGATCAAAATACACAGAGTCGATCTGTCCCTGTGAACAAACAGACGGCTGAACATCATTAAGGTAGGTAACTAAATTAGTTACCGTAGATTTTGATTTACAAAAACCATGCTGACTGGGGTGTAATTTGAATTTGAAATAAAAGGAAAGGTGATCATGAACAATGCTTTCAAAAATTTTGGAGAGGTTATTAAGGATCGAAATAGGCCTATAGTTAGATACTAAGGCGCTGTTGCCTTTCTTAAAAATCGGCACAACAGCCGCTCGCTTCCATAACAAAGGAAAGTTCCCACTTGATAAACTAAGGTTGAAAATATAGCGTAAAAGAGGAGTTAAAATCTCAGAACAACCTTTTATGACGAAAGTCGGGATTACATATTTAAGAGATCACGAAATTATAAGACTCTGTGTGGGAATGTATGACCTCATTTTCCACTTTGCCAACAATCATTATCTTCAGGATTAGTTTTGTATCTCCTTACATTTACTTTTATTTCAATTCTTGTTTTTCAGAGTTGCTTCTATAACTACAAAAGAGAAAGTCAAACAGCGTCCCCAGGCTTTAAACACGATTGAGTTGATGCGAGTAGCCAGCTCAGGTCTTGGTGTGGGACCTCATCATGCTATGCAGATCGCTGAACGACTCTACATCCAAGGCTACATCAGTTACCCCCGAACTGAGACTACGCACTATCCAGAAAATTTTGATTTGTTGTGAGTACTGACATGTTTAAGATAGTATTCATCCCACTGTAAAACCTCAGTGATGGTTATTGGAAGTTTTTTTATACCTACTAGAATTTAGTTAACTTCTAAATTGAACCATTGTTTAGTTTTACAGGTCATAATCTCATTTTATTTATTATGATATTTTTTCTGAACATTATGTTGCATTGCACTGTGTCCTGTTTGGCAGAGGTGCATTGAAACAGCAGCAGCATAGCTCTGAGTGGGGATCTGAGGTGGCAAATATCATAGCAGAAGGGATGAACAAGCCACGGAAGGGTCATGATGCTGGTGACCATCCCCCCATAACTCCGATGAAGCTCGCTAACCGTAGTGACCTTGATGGAGATTCCTGGAAGTTGTACGATTACATTACTCGTCATTTTATTGCCACAGTAAGTCATTTTTTAGTGTATGAAACTATGAATTAAATTAATAATACATGTATATTATGTATTTTAAGGCTGAGTTGTGTACCAATGGAATATTGGGCCATGGTACCAGCTAATCAGAGTTTGTCTAAGAAATTATAGATAATTTGTTGATGGTTAATACTGTGCCGAGACAGTACCTGTTGATTTTTTATCAGTTGATGATTCATGATATAGAAACTGCTATAATCTTGCACCTGCAAGTGACACGTTTTTAACAATTAAGACTTTTGAAGAGCTACTGTCTGTTTTTGTTAGTTGAATATACTATTATGTGCATAGAAGACCAATGATGGCATTGAAAGACACACAGTGAAGTCATATAAATGCATGAAAACTCAAAATGCATAATCATTCAAAGCCACTCTTAAGTACAGGTAGTCCTCGATTTGCGCCGATTCAGAATAATGCTGATATTGAAACCAGCAAGTCAAAAAGTGAAGAAGAAGAATACTATTATTTATAACGTTTTACAATGTATCTCATACTGATTCTTATACTAAATCGTAATTATTACATCGCTAAATTTGAATAAAAATTATTCATCTCTGCAATTACGTAGGTTTCGCGAATTTGCTCCAATGAGAGCGATGAATCGGTAAAAGCTGTTTGTGAAATGCAAACTTTTGCATATGCGAGTTTGCTCTTAAGCAATTTCATTCCTGGCGTTTTAAACTTTCAAAGGACTAATTTAATCTCTGCAGAGGTACCGGGGTTATTTTTACTACGCGTCTTACATGAATGCGACTATCGCATAACAGAACAGATGACTGTATACATCAATCACATGAAAGAATTGCAGTCAATCTTGGGGACCAACGAATTGCCGATTGTAAGTGTATAAAATGTATTTCTTAAAGACCGTTTATTTTATTTACGTTATTTCAGAACTTTAAATGTAATGCCATTATATTACTCGTCAATGTTTGTGTGCTGGGAACGCATGTCATTGATTTCCCATTGATTTACATTATAAAAGAGTTTCAATTTATGCCGGTTCGTCCAGGAACACATCCCTGGTGTAAATCGAGGGCTACCTGTATAGTAGATGAAGTTTTTCTTAAGAGTATGTAGCTTTTTTTCATGTCAGTATGTTTTAAATGTAAGGTTTTCGTATTACAAGAACAGTGTGGAATGAAAGCATGACATTTTAACACTGCTACCACAACAGCTTACTGTTGGATATACAGTGAAACCTCTATCCATCGTTCCCGGAACTATCGTTTTCCCGGATGCATCGTCCGTTTTGTTCGGTCCCGAATACATCCCATATAAAATAATGTTACATTTTCCCGCTTCTATCGTTCCTCGAACTATCGTTTTATCGCATCGATCGTTCAAAAATCTTAGTCCCGGCCCACAATTTTCCCGCAATGATCGTTCCTGAGAATTTAAAATGCTGGGTTTAGAGATAAATTAATACCGAAAGACGCATAATGTTTTTGGAATACACAGTAGCGGTAACCTGTTATGTCGCCCAACCAGCACATTCTTTTGGAATGAGGGTCAGCGGTGCAGGGGTGATAGTTGGAGAGAATGGCGGCGCGCATTGTCAGAAATTTTACGATTTTAATTAGGGTGCACTCATATTTCGTTCCAGCGATGCCAGATGGCATGTGCAGTGTGAATTTCTTCACAAATGCTTTTATTACAAGTACAAAGGAAAGGCGAAAGTGCTGCTGTGGATGTGGAAATAACGGAGCTGTGGCTCGAGAGACTGCCAACACTGCTGGAGGGATATGAGCCGCGGGACATTTATAATGCGGATGAGACCGGACTTTTCTACAACGCCCTCCCGGATAGGACTCTGGCATTGAAAGGTGAATCTTGCCACGGGGGAATACGTGCAAAACACCGAATTACTGTTCTTCTGTGTGTTAACAGTGACGGTAGTGAAGAAAACATTTTGAACGTGGAAAGTGCTCTGTTTGGTCTAAAACGTAAAGTTTCAACAAACCAGTTGTCCATTAAAGACTTTTTTGGTAAAAAGAAGTAACTTTGAAAGAGAAACATTGTTTTTTTTTAATTTTTAATGCTTTCCCGCATCTATCGTTTTCCCGCATTCATCGTTTTTATTTCCCACCCCCGCCGAAAACGATGCATCGAGGTTTCACTGTAGTATACCTCTGACGTCAGAGTTGATTTCCTTTAGCAATCTTAATTCTTTCTTCCCATTTCTTCAGTTTCCCCACCTCATTTTTACTAACTTATATATGCCATCCTAACCACATATTGATCCCACTGTAGCTTTCTTGATTTGTGTATCGTAACAACATGAAGTGATCCGTACATATCATAGAGTTCGTTGTTATGTAATGTCCTTAGCTTCTGATGTCATTTTTCACGGGTTCACATACTTTCTTTTTCACTTTGTACATCAATTTTTCCATTGTACTAATGAACTAGATCTGTGAACAGAATTAATAATACCCGATGATGACACACTTCTGTCAGAGCATGTTGGTTTTAAAATAGGTTTGCGTGAATATATATAATGTGTTTTATGTATATAATTGTTGCCTGTAATATCTGATACATGTGTGTAACATCTTCAGTATGGATGATTATTTGCTTTATGTATGTGACCATTATTTTATTTATTCATTGACATCTGAGACGCCATGATATGGTTACTGTTCAGGTATCGCGAGACTGCAAGTATTTGAGCACAAAGGTGTCATTCAAAGTTGGGACTGAGACATTCACTTGCACAGGCAAAACTCTTCTGGATCCTGGTTATACCACGGTCATGCACTGGCAGGCTTTTGGCAAGAATGAGACGGTTCCTCCCTTTACTGAAGGAGAGATGGCCAAAATACATGATGTAAGTGAATCAGCTGTTTGGCGCCTCCGTGGTTATATTTACAGCTACTAAACCACCAACACAAAACCCTTTTTGGCATTGTTTCATGTGAAGACGTGGCAAGTGTTGGAACTGATGTGTTGAGCGAATTCTGCCTCATATTTCAATATGTTGAGGACTGGTGTAGTTATCTCTGTAATAGATGTATCAGGAGGCAAAGAAAACCCGAATACATTGTTATCATAGATATAATTTAATGAAATTCGTTTTTATTTATTCTCAGTCACTAATTTGAGGTTTGACTCTGCAGGTGAAATTGGTGGAATGTCATACCTGCCCGCCAGACTATCTTACTGAGGCAGAGCTTATTACGCTGATGGAGAAGCATGGGATTGGTACAGATGCTTCCATTCCAGTCCACATCTCCAACATCAGCCAACGAAATTATGTTACCGTCGCTTCTGGTCGTCGCCTAATTCCCACACCACTTGGCATCATTCTCGTGCATGGCTATCAGAAGGTAGGTAATGGCATGAGAAAAAATCACAGTTATGTGTGGAATTGTGATAAATGTTTTCTTAGTTAATGTTGTCTTTGTCATAATCGTGAACTTTGAGGTAGATACCAAACGTTTTAGAGAAAAATACTGTGTCATCAGAACTATGACCAATCTGCAGGGAGTCTGCCACTTTATGAATAGTGAATGGGTGATTGTTCAATTCTACTTGCGATTTTCAGTCACCTTTCTGAGGTCTGAATGAAAATTTTCATAATTTTTTTACATAACATATAAACTTCCAAATTGATATTGCTGCAGAGGTGGTCTGGTACTATGAGACTGGCAGAAATTAATGGTATTATCTGTTTTGAACAGCAAACGCGGTTTTCGTGATTTTCCAACTACAATCGGAACCCGTTTGTCACTACCGTCACTGTTAACACACAGAAGAACAGTAATTCGGTGTTTTGCACGTATTCCCCCGTGGCAAGATTCACCTTTCAATGCCAGAGTCCTATCCGGGAGGGCGTTGTAGAAAAGTCCGGTCTCATCCGCATTATAAATGTCCCGCGGCTCATATCCCTCCAGCAGTGTTGGCAGTCTCTCGAGCCACAGCTCCGTTATTTCCACATCCACAGCAGCACTTTCGCCTTTCCTTTGTCCTTGTAATAAAAGCATTTGTGAAGAAATTCACAGTGCACATGCCATTTGGCATCGCTGGAACGAAATATGAGTGCACCCTAATTAAAATCGTAAAATTTCTGACAATGAGCACCGCCATTCACTCCAACTATCACCCCTGCACCGCTGACCCTCATTCCAAAAGAATGTGCTGGTTGGGCGACATAACAGGTTACCGCTACTGTGTATTCCAAAAACATTGTGCGTCTTTCGGTATTAATTTATCTCAAAACCTAGCATTTTAAATTCTCAGAAACGATCATTGCGGGAAAATTGTGTGCTGGGACTAAGATTTTTTAAGGATCGATGCGATAAAACGATAGTTCGAGGAACGATAGAAGCGGGAAAATGTAACATTATTTTATATGGGATGTATTCGGGACCGAACAAAACGGACGATGCATCCGGGAAAACGATAGTTCCGGGAACGATGGATAGAGGTTTCACTGTATTACCTTACACTAAATATTGCTTCCAGGACATTTTGTCCACTGTTTGTGGTCAATGAACAACTTTTCGCACATTTTTGCCCACATACATCCACAGCTGTATGTTGATTTTGTTTCATGCTCGGTTATGCTTTGTCCACAGGCAGCTCGTCTAATATTTTTTATCCAAGGACGTGTTCATTTCATTTTTCACCCAGACTTTTCTTCCGTTATTCCGATAATATCTTACGGTACTAATAACGGAAGAATGGACAGTTATTGGCTACCACAGTATTGTTTGTAATGCAGTAGAATTGCAGTTATTGCCATACAAGTAATTATTTAAATTATCGAGCTGATACTGAACGCATCAGAATTATGACATACAATACTGACATTAGATACTAATAAATTTAGGGCATTGGAAATACTTATTTGCAATGTAATTCTTCCTTGTTTTGTCTTTCGTTACACTTTGAGAGGTTGCACTGTTCCACAGTGGTTAGAGCACTACAATCTTACTGTGAGGCAATGATGGGGTTTAGTTGCACGTTTTGCTGGTAGGACTGGGTGGAAATAAAATGAACTGAACAATAATACTAGCAGACAGAAAAAGCTATGAGCAGGTAAATTTTGAATATAAAACAAAAACAGGACCAACGTACATTTGACTAGATGGAATGGTGTGTGGATGTAATGTCTGGGAACCTAATTATTATTGTTATACATCCTTTGATCACTTTACAGTGATATAGAACATGTCTAGTAATACAAGCTCATACAGAAACAAGAGAAAAATGTATATGAAGCAAGATTACACCAAATATAATTTTAAGAACAGATTGAGGCTTTTATACATCATATTATAACAATACAGGAAGAAATGAAAAAAATACAAATCTTGCTGTTAAAAATGTCATAGGAATTGAAACTTTATAACCAAAAGTACAGATCAGCAACCAGAATGAGACACTACTAGAGTTTCCTTTTAAATAGTAAATTATTGGCGATCTGTTTAATATGTGCAGGGAATTGGTTTCTTACATGTCTGGCATAAGTTAAAACTGTTCCACGGTAGCAGCTTGTGTATTTTTCATGTGTCTTGTTGCTCAGAGAAGTCACTAAAGCTAATATGGCAAGCATGAGCTATATGTGAAGCTTTTGTAGCTGTACTAAGATAACTTTGGTGTCTTAGCTGACAACTTACAGTGTTAGGCTATCACATGAAATAGTTTTAACATATAAATATGGAAGATTGCTGTATTTTGCGTTTTAGTGCCATGTAGTCTGATGGAGTTTATCAGAGGTTGTTGATGACGTCATCATTAGAGTGATGAGACTCATTGTGTTGATGATGGAGGCAGCAAGGTCATCTGAAACGTTGATAAAATTCTACCAGGCTACATGGCGCTACAACCAGGAAGACGGCTGTCTTTGCACTCGCTGCCATGAGAACCACGAATCCTACATACAAAGATGGAATTACGTCACAAAAGATTCGTATTTATGGGACCAAATAGTTTTGATTTGGTTCTTCTGACTGTGTTAACGGACCAACTAAGAAATGCGTGTATTGTCATTGTTTAGATTGACCCAGAGCTTGTACTCCCTACCATGAGGTCTGCAGTAGAGGAACAACTGAATCTTATTTCTCAGGGACAGGCCAACTTCAATGCCGTATTGCAGCATACTGTTGAGATATTCAAACAGAAGTTTCTGTATTTCGTGAAGAACATCGAGGGAATGGACCAGCTGTTTGAAGTGTCATTCTCTCCACTTGCAGCATCAGGAAAAGCTCACTCGCGGTAAGAACCTAGTTCAGTCTTGACCATAACCACTTCCACTGAGACCCTAGCATTATTTCCAAAAGATTACTGCAACTAAAATTGTCGGTTGCAACGTAACTTCTATGAATTTACCTCACTTGATAATGGGTTTATTGACAGGCTCTTGTGAGCACATTATTTAACTACTGCATAGAAGGTGGGGGGTTTTTTCTTCTTCTCATTGAGGGACCTTCAGCTTTCAAAACAATA